AACTGGGCTGATCGGAAAACAGCCGAAGACCACCAAACCCCCAGTTCTATAAGCCTGCTACGGAGGCTAAGATCAACGGTCTTGACACAAAGATTGTACGCTGCAGGCTGACTCTGGCCACATGGCCAGGGGTACTTTATTGGGCTTAATCATACACAGATGTTCTAGTCTCGTTTAGTTTCTACCCCCAACACAAGTTAGGACTACTTTCCTCTTAGTTTAATGTAGTTCTTTGGCAAAGTTCGTCAAGTTTGTTGCATCAAGTTCTTTTTTTCTGTAGCTGCTTCAATGGGTATTCCACATAGGAGAGACACGAGCGTTGAGAAACCTTTCCATCTAGCAAGACTAGACAAATCTCTAGAGGGACTTGGTTACTAGAAGATTCTTTCAACAGTGACAAGTTTGAAGGGTAAAGGTACTGACCTCCAAATTTTCCATGACTATCAGTCCATCTTGTTCACGGAGTGGCCTAGTCTCGCGAGGCCCGAGACTTGCATCGGTCTGCTGGGCCCCACCCTTCAAACTTGTCACTGTTGAAAGAATCTTCTAGTAACTGTATCTATACGTGACACATAAATCTCTTCAAATAAAGAGACTTGCAATGAACGTCCTATGGTCATCAGTGTATTCCAATGATCCCCATGGTCATTCAATGATCAATCAATGATCTCTACGGAATTATAATGATGTTGCAATGATATCTAAGGTCGCCCAATAACTTCCTAATGATATCTAAATCTTCCAATGATATCTTGCAATGACGTATCGGTTTTCATGTCTGCTCAATTATCACCTCTGCGTTGTCCAACGGTCTCCAGCTGTAGACATTGAGCCTAGCATAAAATAAGGTGGGATATCCGAATGACATACGATATTGGCTACCATGCAAATTAATTTTGGCTTCGGGAAAAAGGAACGATTTATCAATAAGCGGCTGCTTTCATACTCGTATGACAAATTTGTCCATCAGTATAAAACTTTGACGCACCGGATCTCTGATATTGAATTCTTTCCCCGATACAAGAATAGATTCTGAAATAGTGCCAGCTTGCGGCAAACTTTAACCTAAATCTTTCAAAAGTTCGCTTGAACATCAATATCTGTGGGAATATTTCACTTGTTCGTGTTAAGACTTCTTCGTGAACCGATGCTTTGATACTACAGGTATGTACATCATAAGGAAACGCATAATGAAAGATCTTATGGCCAGTAGCAACTATGGAGCGTGCGTTAACTAACCAGGATGGTACCCAGGGTAGATAAACATTTGCCGTGGGACTAAAAATGCTGTCATGAAAGTTCATCTAATAGTATGTTTAAAGTTAAAACTTTTGGTCCAACACAAAAACTCTCTCATCTAGAGCTTTTGACCAGTCACTCTGGTCTTCCTCAGTAGACTGACCCAGTGTTGACGTGACATTTCAAAGAAGCCACGTGACAAGCGTCACTGGGTCAGTCTACTGAGGAACACCAGAGTGACTGGTCGAAAGCTCTAAGTGAGAGAACTTTATTGTGTTGGATCTAAAGTTGTAACTTTAAACACAAAAAATGCTAAGAAGTGCACTTGATCAATTCACTGACTTGCAAATCAGGACACCAAGATGGCGGCGGTCAGCACATCCTGATCGACTGACACGGAAAGTGAGTGAGTGAAAACGTCTATAAGATGTATGCCCACAGAGTGAATTTGTCAAGTTAATTGGCTGTTGCACGGTACGGCGATCTCATTTGGTCAGAGGCACGCTACCGCTACCAGCAATCAGTAATCTCTTTAGCGGCGCATACACTTAATGAAAGTGCGATGAAGAATGTCCCGAAGATCACGCATATAAGTAACCCACAGTCCATTTATTCTCATGTGAGAGGTGATGAGGAAGGCTTAATGAGTAATGTGTCTACTCCAGGACTCCGTGAGGAAGGGGACGGCACAGTCAGATGAATGCAGAGCGGGCATCGGGGTTTTGTAGACGAGGCCTGTTCATTAAAACTTTTTGTAGACTCTGAGAGAAACGAAACTTAGAACATTGATGAAGGTTAGAAGGTTATAGAACTGGGGGTTTGGTGGTCTTCGGCTGTTTTCTGATTAGCCTAGTTCTAAAAACGGGAGTAATTCAACTAAGCCGGCTACGTTGTCTACATGCAATCAGAAAATAGCACATAAAAGCTCCAAAAGACCCTGAAGACCCCCAAAACACTTGGTTTTTGGCATGCTATGGAGGCTATAAAACAATATTTAAGACAATTCAAACTCTATTACTGGATGAATAATGGAGATAACTTCCGGACGTTTCGAGTGACATCCGCTACTATTCTTCAGCGTCACAAAATGACACTAATCACATGTAAAACCAATTGAACATGAAAAAAATTCGTAAGAGTCACTGTTACGAGCATGTACATTGGATTTTCGGAAGTTATCTCCTTTATTTATCCAGTATTAGAGTTTGAATTGTTTTAAATATTGAAACTTAGTACAGTTATACGGTATTGACAGAGGATAGGGATACATTTCAAGGAAAGACCGTGCATATAGCACGGATTCACCGCCCTGCATTCAACTGGCACCATTGCCACACAAGGGAAACATATACCGGAATGACGGTACGACATTATTCCGTACCTGTAGAACAGAAATAACATTCTCGGCACGCCGCGGCCATGTAGATATACATTCCAGAGAGATACACCGGCATAATGAAACATGGGCGATAAAATAACAACGACCCGTCAGGTATTAAAAGTCCGTTTAATATAGCCGGCTGTACTAGCCGGGGTCAATTATGTAAAGGCTTCGACGTCGGATCCTCCGACCTTTTTGACCCTCTTACTAGTTTCTAGGAGCTCACGGTCACAACCGGCGAAAATGGTCATTAACGTTGTGGCAAAATATATCCAGAAAATTGGGGACACAGACGGGTCAAGTCAATTCAAGCCGAAAGTTTAACGCTATTATAAGGATATTGGAATTCGCCCCAAGGCATTTCCTGACCCCGACATTGGTACTGTAGAAGAGGTCGGTGTTTCAATGATTATGAAACAAGGGGTGATCTTTTCCAGGGATGAAGAGGTGGCAAGGAGGAAATTTTGGCGATTTATAAGAACACAGGAGGACCGAGGATTACATGCTTTACTTTGAACATGTGTGTGTAAGTCATGTAAGTAACTTAAAAAAATGTGAGGATGACGGTCAAACTCGTAATTTTTCATCAGAAGAGTAGAAAAAATAGTGATCAGAAGAACATTCAGAAGACAGAAATGAAATGTTATGATAAGCTAGGAATTTTATCAACATTTTATCAACTAGCGGTGTTATCCTGTGCTGATGACAAAAAAAAACAACTGTGTTCTGGTAGAGTTTGAAATAACTGCAGTTTTAAAGCAGTCCTTTTCTCTGATACCATGGGCATCTAAGGAATAACGTTATTAATTATTCAGTCACACGAACAACCTCCCTTCAGTTACGTAAGTAAACCAATCTATCTGATCACCAGCCAAAATGTTGCCATCTGTAATTTTGAAAGATCCTCCAAGGACGTACAGGGTTATCTGCAATCAAACAGTGGGCGCAGTCCCAGGTATTCCACACACTTAAGTCTACCTGATACGTGAGGCCGGCACATTAAGGTCGCGCACTGCGAAAGCAATCAGGAAATGAAAGTGCCGATATATCTTTTCTCGTTCCCAACCAACCGCCTGCAATTAGATGACTTCATTCGCACCGCTGCGAAATGTCGAAGACGTTTAGAGTCAAGGAACTTTGGGTTGGATTGGTAAATTTGGGAATAGGCTGGTGGTGAGAACTCCATATGCATTTCTTTTGGACTAGTGGTAAATGGCCTAGAATGGACTGTAGTGCAAGCTTTGGAAGAAAATAGGAAGCTAGCTATTCGAAGGAAAGGAAAACTTCACAGTGTTAAGTTGGTCACCAGTGACAATATAACACTGAAATACTTGTTAATCACATTGAAAATTTTTGCAACACCCTGTAGTATCGGTGTGTGCAGCCAAATGCTACTTGAGTGTGGTTTGTCAAGTCTGATTTTATGGCAAGACATATGGTTATGGTTCCCCACAAGTAGGTGATACAAAAGATGAGTACTGAATAAGCAAGTTCGTGTGTTTTGTGGTGAATCTGTCGATGGGTAATATAGGGAATTTTGACGAATTGCCTACGGATACCGTCCCTATAGTTAGTAACTACACCGGCGGCAGGGTTCATTTACTTCTATATCTGTCATCTCATCATCGAAGACCCACATGTGTGCAATTAGCTTTTAAGGGGACCCTGTTGTACAGAGCCGATGTCCCACCGACCCATGCAGTCCCCGTTTTTATCCACTCAACATGTCAACATGACGCCTAGTATTGGGGGTTGTCAGATCCACTTCAATACTGTGTCAAGCCATATACAAGATCCTGACAAATACATGACTCCGACACTACTAAGTTGGGGGTTTCCAATATACCTGATACAAGGGGTTGGAGGGGTTTAGTCGTGATGTGGGAGACTAAACCTAACCTAACCTAACCCAAATCGTAAGTCTAACCCTCGCCCTAAACAATGATCCCAACTCTAACCCTTATCCTGACTCTAATACCAACCCTACCCCTAACACCCGACCTCTCACGTATGTGGCAGCTCAAGGATTTGGCTCAACAACGGCTACATTCTGTGACCGGTCCAAATAGTATCCGTCTGAAGCTAATTCTAAGGTTGAAGATACCCATTGTCAAAGCCACGTGAATATGACAAACACACTCAAAGTGATGAAATTAATGTCGAGCAATACGAAAACGTCATCATCTTTTATTTACAGTGTATACATCATATTGAAAAATCCAAATCTGCTAAATATGTGACACTGATATAAATTATGATGTCAAATCTGCTTTCTTTTCTTCTCAAATAAACTGTACAATCAACGGCTCAAAACTAAAGGCAACAACCTTTGATATCTTTAATATACGATAGAAAATTATGTAATTAGTGGTTGTACTATTTAGACTATGGTCTCTTCAGTAGGGAAAGCCATAACGCCTTTGGTATAAAAGCTACCGCCGTTACAAATATTGTAGACGTCAGGAAGTTCAATAGGTTCGTCTTGTTCTATGCTTTTTAAACACGTAGGTGTGCTGGGGCAGTCCACTTGTCCACGGTCCATTCTCTTCTTTCTCATCATTTTTCTTTTACGCTTCCACTTTGAACACTTTTTAGTTACGATGACTGTTACCCAGATGACGATACCGATCGTTACGACGGCTGATATAGAAGCTATGATATACATCTTATGGTCCACCGTTGACGCGCCGTCTTTCCCAGAACCCGGCTGCGCGCGGAAAACGTCGTCCGTGGGCGGCACGAACTTTGGTCCGCTTCTTACCCTCACCGTAGGCACTGGTATGGACGTCGGCGTCGATCTGTCGTTCAATGTCGTACTCACGGCGCAGATGGCCGAGTCAAATTGGTCCTCCAGCAGCTCTTCAATTACCGGCATCTCCGTCGCCGCTGCCACAGACACTGGTAGTCTGCCAGGAACCTTCAGCACGGTGTCTATCTCCGAGATACCGGCTGTGTTCTTCGCTATGCAACGGTAGACGCCCTCGTCGGACTTGGTGACGTTGGTGATGTTCAGGTTTCCCTCGGGTGTCAGCTTGATGCGAACCTTGAACGCGCCGCGCTTGTTGATGTTCGTCCCGTTCGGAGTGATCCAGTTGATGCCGGCGTCTCGCGTGGTTCTGCATAGCAGCGCTGCACTGTCGCCTTCCGTCACGTTCACCAGGCCCTGCGTGTCCGTAATCCTGGGCGGGGAACACTTCAGACCCTCCAGGGGTACCTCACACATCGGCGTGTTCCGCCACGCCGAGGGCGATCTGCATTTACCACACAAAGTCCGCACATTGTCGTTCATGTTATCCTTTAACCATTGACTCAACCACGTTGCTTCGCAGGTGCAGCTCCACGGGTTTTCTCGAAGATCAATCTTAACAACAGACACCATGTTGGCAAATAGTCCGTACGGTAGCATGTTCAACGAGTTGTTGGACAAGTCTAAGTCAGAGAGCAATGGCAGATCGTCAAAGGAATTTCTCTCGATTCTTGATATTTTGTTTGATGACAAGACGAGCTTGCTCAGTTGGAACAGGCCTTGGAAGTCAACTGACGATACCGCCGTTATGTTGTTACGAGAGAGGTCCAACTCTGCAGTATTGTTCAGGTAATTCATGTAAGGCACGACTATCAAGTTAGACCTGGCCATGTTCAAGTTTACCACGTGCGGTATTCCGTAAAAGGTCCTCTTTGAGATGGCCCGAAGTTTGGTCAACTCCCCTAAATCTAAGAACCTCAAAGACGGAATGGCAGAAAAGGTGAACTTTCTAAGACATACGATGGGGTTGCGTCTCAGACTCAGGTTTTGTAAGTTTCCCAACCCCTCAAACATCGAGGATGAAATAAATTCGAGTTTATTTGCCGTCAGGTCGAGCGTGTGGAGACTCACCAGTCCAGCGAAAGCGTTTTCAGCGATGTCCGAGATCAGATTCGCACTCAAATCCAACGTCCGCAAATCCTGCAGCTCACTGAGCCGATCTGATGTTATTGTCTTGATAGAATTGCCTCCCAATCGGAGGATTCTTGCAGTGTTGGGCAGTCTGTCGGGGATTGTGCTCAAGTCGAGATTTTGGCACGAAACGTTCTGGTCGGGATTCGGGAAGGGTCTGCCGCTGCACACACACGGCGGCGGACAGGACTGCGGTTCGATACAGGTCCAGAGCATGGTGAGGACAAGCACGGTGCACAACTCATTACAACCCGCGGCTGAAGACATCGTATTCTCCAATTCCTCACGTCGTCGACTGTTAAATACTACCTGTGATTACCCGTACTTTCCGTTCGCTCAGTCCGTGCATTGAGTCTCCAGTCAGATCGTGAATACACCTCCACACACGATGCATGCCTCTCCATTATCGAGTGTCTGCAAAATAAATCTACCAGCTTTTCACAGTAAAGACGGACGTAAAGTTCACCACTCAATACCCGTTAGTTAGTATTACTCGCTTGGCTTCTAGATAACCACGGTTTCACGTGGGTTCTATATTACTCACCTATAGTAGGCAGGGAGCGCAAAAACACCCCTCCAAATGCCAGACAATTACTCCTTATTTCTCAATGGTGCAAAAGTTCATTGCCATACATCCCAGGCTGTATATCTCACACCAACTTGCTAAGTCTACCGAACAAAGCTCCGGCGGCCCCAGTAGCTCAGGAGAAGTCAGTCCATCATCTGATATAAGGACCTAATCTTGTTATGTCCACCAAGAAGAATGTTTTCGGCGCGACCTTCTCGGTGGCGAATGGATGAGATTGCTGGTCTTCACTTAATGAAAGGAGATATTTCACCGCGCCGGCTCCAGGTGTAATCCCTACAAGATGAGGTCCCGTTGGAACAATGGCTGTACACAGCTTGCCAACTGAAAAGCGCTAATTCCCGCGCCGTGCCAAAAGTTGGTATCGCGCGACGAATACTGTCAGTGAGCGCCGTCACCCTCAGTAAACTCAGACAGACGAAACAATGAGCCGTTTGCGTCCCGTGCCGCTGACTATTCCCTCCAGCTGAACATCCGTTAGAGATAGAGACAGACGGTTTCTCCTGACTTGACGACTTCGCCAGTTCCATCCACACCTTATATGGAAGTCCGTGATTTGCAAGGCGCTGACATCAAAAGCCACCTGCTCCTACCGTCACCTCGTCAGAGAGCACTAAACTATTCGATAGCGTCTTTTCAAATCACCGAGGGATAGTCCTCCTTGTCAAGCCGCTGCATTATTGATCCCCTCTCGCGCTGTGGGCACGGCGTCGGCAGAGAGATTTGTCACGAGCTTCCTTCGTCACCAGAATGCCGCATCTATCACCCATTTTACGGTTCTTTGGTTATGTGTCGTCTACACCCTCTTGGCAGGCTGCTATTAGTCCTTGAGAGAGGTCTATCCGAGAGACAGCCTTTCACATCTCACTGGCGAAGAGACTAATGGGTTTCAGAAGGAGTCTGCGATGGGGTGGTGTGTCTGTGACGCACTCATTCAACACGCCGTCTCACTGCTGCAGACGCTGGCTTTATTGTGCACTTTTCCCAGCTAGACAGTCACCCTGAAAAACATGACATTGACGTTGATAAGAAAACATATTTTACTTGTTCCAAGCTTGTATGAACAGTTATTTCTTTTCGCTAACTACTTACGTCTCCAAACTGTAGATTCGTGCTCATGGCTCCACAGTATACTAGTATCATTTTATATATAGCATCATTGAAGATTCTGTTCATCCCCTTCTTCTAGCAATAACAGGGCATCCTACAGAGAGTTTGTGTATATATACATTTTTGTATAGTGTAGGATACACACGCAGATGCAGGCATTACCACACGGATGATGTACGTTTAGAACTTTCTTTCATTTCCCTGTGTCTGTTCCAAAAGTACTTTGAAGTAATTGAAATCCTACCCTCCCTATACATAGCTGCCTCACACGTCATTCTACCATGAGAGAAAACGTTTAAAGTACCGGGGAAAATTCATCCATCGATCACGGAAAGTACCTTTCACGGAATGGACACAAAAATAGCCAAAAAGTGCAGCAGTGGATCAAACACAAGTCACCGGAGGCAAAGGGCCAAGGCTATGAATGATCACTTACTGTGTAGTGGGGTTTCCACACTAATCTCCAAGCAGATCCTAGGGTAGCAAAAGACAGTATTAAATTGGCCAGGCAGTATCCATTGGTCAGGAGTGTCCATACACCAAGTTGGGTGGCCAATGGACACTGCCTGGCCAATTTGATACTGTCTTTTATCACCCTAGGATCTGCTTGGAGATTATTTCCACACAGGAGAGACCATCGAGAGTTCAAAATTTCAGAAATTGACAGATCTCTCAACGACCTCTCAGTGAATGTCCAGTGATCACTAAGGTCTTCCAGTGATCTTTTAATTGATCTCCAAAGTCTAATAAAATGTCTCAATGGCCAGCAATCATCTTCGAAATGTCTTTATAATCTTCATGTGATGATCTGAATGACTAATGATATATTGATCGCTCATCTATTGGCCAAAGGTCTCGGACATCTGGAAGTAGGGCCTTAGCAGTTAATGTAGTATGGCGGCGAGCATGAGACAACAGAGGCCCGTGCGTAAGTATATAATGCTGGTCTCGATGGCTGTCCTTACGCTAATTGCTTTATGTGTGCCGAAATTGATCACATACTGACACATCTGTGTCAAAGCCCTAAGCTAGTCTTACGGACATGTGCTGGTAATACTGGTAGTTGATCCCCTAATCTCTTTTCGAGGTATCCGAATGAGTTGCCAGGCAGGATAATCATCATAATGTCCTGGCTTATGGTAAATGGATTATCAAAGTAGTCAGCCCTGATAAATCGACCATTTCAATTCTACCTTTCATAATCTATTTACACATCCTCCAAATATGATTTTAAACGCCGATGTGAATAATCTTGACCTGTATCATTTCATAATAAGGCGTCATTATTTCAAGATGTTCCCTAAGGTTCTTGAAGATATGAATATCTTCTTCAGTCTAGACATCTTAGACTCGGTAGTAAGAGTTGCTTTGATGTGAAGTCGCCGTTATTGGTCAGAAATTGATTCTTGCCTCGCGAAGCTAAAAGCTAAGCCCTGAGAACTAATGCGCGATCACTCGTAACGAAACTGCGTCATACCGGCCAGACCAATTTGGTCCATCGACCGGCGAGCATCCTCTTTGAAAACGCGAATTGGAAACGACCGATTTCCATCCATCTCAAATAGCGGGGCTTGCTGCTAGCATTTAACGTTACTGTAGCTCTTTGGTCATGTACAGAAAGGAAACACTGTGTTTGGAACAAAACTATACATTAAGTACATGTTCTAGTCTTCTTACTAATAGCTAGTTGGAAGACTTGGATTCTTCAAAAAGACTCAGTGTCTGAACATTGATATTTTTCTGTGTTATTGAAAGTAAATCGTTCACATACATTTAGAACAGTAACAAATTTATACATCTCTCACTTTAACGTTGTTGTATGATACGAGTCCTGCCAAACCCAACGGCTCACACAGGCTCACTGGGCTATCTCTTCGGGGGCCAGGCTAACATAGTGCCGAGAACATTTTGCCACAGCCGATGGAGTATTAATCTCCAAGCAGATTCTAGGGTGACAAAAAGACAATCAAATTTGCCAGGCAGTATCCATTGGTCAGAGAGGGTCCAATACACCACCTTTAAGGTGGCGGGGGTAGCAACAAAAAAGGGCCATATATAGAAAGGTAACGATCTTCCCCCATCAACCTCCGCTTGGAGAATAGTGGAGTATAGGCACGGATTACAGTTCCATTTTTGCAATTATGATAATGTGCCGTTAACTCTCAGTGGATTAGTAACCATTCGACGTTATGGCTTTTTAAACTCGTTATCATCCGTAAGATTAATGAAGGCGGTTTATGTGATGACACTTTCGATGTCAGGGAGTACGGTCAGTGTTCCAAACTTTTACCGACTTTTCAAAATGTCGTTAAAGTTCCAATCGATTTTCAGTCTCAGCAGCGAAGGGTGGTCACATGAAAATGTGGAAGGTAGCCAGGCAATCTCTCTGCAACAGTCTCTCCATCCTGGGTCCACCCACCCGTTTTACCATTACCTATACGCTGCACAAAGCCACCGATCTAGAGAATGCTACAATCATCTCTCTACATGGAAAGATGCCTACCTACCTCCAGATGCTGCTGTTATGTTTCACGGTCTTGCCTGTTTTACCATATTCGTTAGCAACGGAAGATGCGAACACGGTATTTTAATTCGTTGATATAATTGCAGACTCGTGGCTAACTTTAACAGTTGCGTTTTCACCAAAAAACGCTCATTCAAGCTTGTGGCAACTTGTTTATGTTTGTGTTTGTGTTTATGTTTATTAGTAAAAAAAACAGTTCCTTACTACTCTTTCTGGAGTCCTGTACATTAAATGACAATGACAATGACAATGAACTTTATTGCATGTTCACGCCCTACAAGGGCCAAATGCACTTAAGTTAAATAACTTGGTAACAAGAATAGAAGAAGCAATTGTTACACTCGTATGTCGTTTCAAACCTAGGCACAGAAGATTGGATCACGATTTAGACGCATCACAGTATAGCCTGGTCTTAACATGTATATAGCTGTTTATTATACACATTTGTAAAGAAGATTAATCAGCTATAAACTGGCGATTGGTTTGGCAGCAGAAGTAGATATAATAAATGATACGGGCGCGTAGGACCTGAGGTTAACAAGGCGTTCGATGGAAGATGAATGTACTTGGAGAAAAATTAATATCTCTGGTGCCACACCTCTCCTGTGAATAACGTCAATGTCAACCTTTGAAAGGTCTTTAAGAAGGGAACATCTATCTTTCCCACTCAGTGTCAGCGGTTAGGGCGTCAGAACGCGTATATAAAGCGGGAATTTTACTTTATTTACAACATGTACTGCAAGTGCGGGGATTTGTCATGCAGCAGTGTCGATGTGATGTGAGGGCGCTACTTTAGTCTCTACCAGACTAACTACGCTGGCTATATAGGAGAATATTTGCCAGGGGAGTTTGGCCGCCTTGTAAGTTTGACTAGGCCGCGCAGTTACGGAGAGAAAGAAACTACCTCCCCGCGGCCGGACTCCCTTGGCCGATTGTACTCTCTTTTTTGCCGTATTCTAGGATCCGTATTCCCGTAGAAAGGCCTGGTGGAGGCCAGCGCTACTTACTGTACGGAGGAGCTGCGGTTTACCTCATTCAGGCCATATTGATTTGATCATATGGATGGAT